GTCCACCCCCTCAAAGTCCCCCACAGGGCATGCCACAAGGTCCACCCCCTCAAGGCCCTCCACAGGGTATGCCGCAAGGTCCACCCCCTCAAGGCCCTCCACAAGGCATGCCACAAGGTCCACCCCTTCAAGGCCCTCCACAGGGCATTCCGCAAGGTCCACCCCCTCAAGGCCCACCACAAGGTATGCCACCAGCACCCCCTCAAAGTATGCCACAAGGCCCGCCCCAGGGAATGCCCCAAGGTCCACCTCAGGGCATGCCACAAGGTCCTCCACCAGGTCTCCAGCAAGGTCCGCCACCTGGCATGCCGCAGGGCCCTCCTCAGGGCCTACCACAAGGTGTACCCCAAGGGACACCCCCGGGTATGCCACCCAATGTAGGCGGCCCTCCACCAAGATTTGAGAGGGATGAGGGCCCAGAGGGACAGAGACAGCAGCCACCACCTCCTCCTCAGCTTATGGGAGAGCCTGCCAGACCGACTCAGCAGATACAAGAACTCAGGGTATGATGTAAAACTTTATAGGTATACCTTAATGGTATAGATTAACATATAGTTTAAAACTTTTTTATAATATTAATACATGTGTCTAAGATGTTTCATCATATTACATAATTATCAGTATGATGTATCACATTTTGCTGAGTATTATAATACTATATTCTATTATTATAGTTAAATTGAAATATACTGAATCTTAATACATCAGGTTAAGAATACATGAGAACTATTTTCCATAATTAATACTTAAACAGTAAATTTTTCAATGAATATTATTAATTGATTGATACAGAATTTCTTCAATATATTCCTAAAATTGTGAATAGAAATGTAACAAGCACTAAAGTTGTGAAATATTCACATCGAGATGCAAAATATTTTAATTTTACCATCATGGGTGTCCATTTATTTTATTCCTCACCAGTCTCACCCCTGCAGATATGCATATTATTATTATTATACTGTTCGTTTCAGCCACCACCTCGGGTGGAGGAGGAAAGGCCCAAAGAAATCAGATTGCCACAAGCCCTGGAGAAGGTGTTAGCATTCAAAGATGTGAGGGCACAGCAGGTAGGAGTGACCACAGAGGAAATGGAAGAGGAGGAGCAAGTGCAAGGTAAGGGACTGTCAAACAGTTTAACAACAGCAAGTTACCCTGCGCTTTGTTCCAGCTGAAAGTAATCTTGTTCATATATATAACCCTGTAACCTGCAGCTGAGTCTTATTTTGAATTTTATTAGCTAAGATCAGACCAAGCCAATGAAATTTCAATAACATCCAAGATCCCAGAACTTGAGAAGTTGGGGACCAGTATGCATAAAAAAGAATAAAAAGTGCCTTCCCATTGTTCCACATCAAGAATATATACTTGTTTTGATTGTTATAAATAGGTTCCCTCATTTTCTCTGAGTCAACAAATAACAACAAACATCGTAGATTTTGATTTATGTTAGTTAACTATAAATACCACACACAACTCAAAATACAACAGTTGTATCTGCTAATGATATTTTGGATACGTATTTACTGCGGGCAATGACCATTTGATTGACAGACCAGAGACCCAGAATGCAAGAGCCTGAAAATTCTGATTCTGTTAAGATGCTCATGCTTTTCATCTTACTTTTTTTTTTATTCAGAAGAATATGAAGCAGAAGACTACATCAATGAAGATTATGGTGAAGATGAAGATGATGAACCGCCTAGAATAGAACAACAACAGACAGTGAAAGAAGTAAGTACATTGTTTTAAGATTAAGATTGTGTCAAAATATTTTGCTGATATGATGTAAAGGTGGTTTGGTGTATTTGTTGAAGAGCAGAACGTTGGAATTAAAGAGGAAATCTGAAAGATGTCATGTTTTTTGATATTTTTAGATGTAGTATTCTGCTTTTTGCACAATGTAGATTTGATTTTTTTGCTTCAAACTAATATCTATTCATTAATTTAGTCCAAGAATAAGAGAAAGAAGAAGAAAAAGAAGAGGCGAGCCAAGCAAAGATTTCAACAGAAACAGGAGCAAAATAAAGCTCACCAAGAAGAAACGCCCAATGATGATGTAGTTGTTGAGTCAGTAGCTTTTTTACTTTTAAAGAAAGCATATTTTTATATCTGTAAACTTGCAAATTTGTAAATATCTGCAACGTAATTTTAAGTATAAAACTAAGATATTTTAATTATTCTGCTATTTGCAGACTAGTATTTTTCTAGCTGGAAAAGTGAATATTTGTTTTGTGATTGATGGTTCTGTTTTACAGGTACATTCCAGAGCAGTTAGATATTGATCCATCTGATCCAAGCTACAGAGATTTTATGAAGATATTTGAAGCTTTCAAGGTAAGATTGCTACAACATACTGTGAATTTACTGGAAAATATGAATAATAAACAGGGTGAAATATGTTTTGTTGTATGTAAAATGCAGTTCTGTATTAATTAATCCCTTACATAATTTTAAAAATAAGTAAATCTTGTTACTATTATAAGAAAACTCAAAAGGTGTTCTTTACATGCCACGTAAAGAAGTAAAAAAAAATAAACTGAAAAAATGAATGTCTTCCAGATTACTGAGATTGAGAAAGCAAAGGAGGTAGGGAAAACTGAAGAGAAGAAAGACGACAGAGCAAAAGAACCTGAGGCAATTACTAAGGGACAGCATCTTATGGATTTACATGATATGGAGGAAGAGGTAAGGACAGATTTTTGGTACTAAATAATTAAGCTCAAAAAGGGGATATTAGTTCATGTATATTTAATTGGTCCTTTTGGTTTTATGTATTGTTTGTCTTTATAATGACTGAAAAGAAACAAAATGTATATATTCAATTGTTAATGGCATTTAATTTCATAAGTTTGTGTCAGGAACAACTTGGATTAGATGTTTAAATTTTGAATATTTTAATTTCTGCAGGAACCACCAATAGAAGAAGAAAAACCAAAACTTTCCAAGAAAAAGATGAAAAAATTAAACAGATTAAGTGTAGCAGAATTGAAACAGGTATGTCTTTTATTTTAGATAATAGATCATAAAATTATTTAAATTGTATTCTTTGAGATTTACAGTTGACATATTCTACAACAGTGGAGGCAGTAAAGTAAAAAAAAAAAAGCTACAAACTTTTCTTGGTTGAATTCAAATTTTTTCCAAGAATCTCTGTACATTTGCCATTAACTCTGTTTTAGCTGGTAAGCAGGCCTGATCTAGTTGAAATGCATGACGTGACTGCTCAGGATCCAAAATTATTAGTCAGTTTAAAGGTAAGGTTATTCTCACTCAAGGTATATGGTTTTGAAGAGAGGAAAAAGACAAAACCCATTTTTGAGTTGTTATATTATAAATCATGTTTTTGTTGTTCTATATGCATTAAAAGAAGAGCATGAATAAAGTTCTTAAATCTAATATTGGACACTAAACTGTATGAAGTCTCTGAGAGGGAGGCGCAACATCGTCAGTTAGACTAACTGAAAGTCCAGTATTAGATTTAAGAACTTTATTTTTAAAATGTGTCTGGGTGACTAGCACACACAGTTTTAAAAGGAGAGCACTTTGTGGATTTGTATTTCTGTATCAAACTATGTGTACAAAAGTGTGGGTAAACCTCAATTCATCTCATTATAAACCTACATTGTTATATCAAACTTTTTATATTTCAAGGCTACTAGGAATACAGTAAGTGTACCTAGGCACTGGTGTTTTAAAAGGAAGTACCTCCAAGGTAAAAGAGGTATAGAGAAACCACCGTTTGATTTACCAGACTTCATTAAGAACACTGGCATTATGGAAATGAGAGCAGCTTTGGCAGAAAAGGTAAAATTAGGTCATATCAAAATATAACACTTTTCTTGTAGTGTCTTTATACATTTGTTATTGGAACAGTTTGAATTTGTAATGTTGATCTAGAGTGATTAGGTACTTCAGAAAATTAGACATCATAATTAGGTTCCCCAAATAAAAATGAAGCAAACACATATTTTATTACATTTATGCAAGACTAAAAAGAGTGACAATAATTCCAAAAAGTGTACTTAGCTATTTTTCAAAATAATTTGGATGATAGGCATTTTATTTATTCAACATATATTTTCAGGAGGAACAGAAGACATTAAAGTCAAAAATGAGGGAAAAAGTTCGACCAAAGATGGGGAAGATCGACATAGATTATCAGAAGCTTCATGATGCTTTTTTCAAGTATCAAACAAAGCCGAAAATGACAATCCATGGGGATTTATATTATGAGGTAATGAACAACAATTAATATATGGGAAAGCAGTAGTTTAGAGCGTAATATCAAGTAATTTTAATTATCAAAATCATGTCTTTCCTGTGACATTTAGCTCAATATTTTATATAAAGAGAGCACTATACATGTGGAAGAGTACTTTGAAAATGGATCCAGGAAAAATATTTATCTTGAATTTTTAACGTGATATTAATTACTTGCAGTTTAATATTGCGATTGCATGTTTAAATAGTTAAACACTGTTGTCATAATAATTAAGCATACATTTGTATAATTTCTCAGGGAAAGGAGTTTGAAACGAGGTTAAAAGAAAAGAAACCAGGCAACCTAAGTGATGAACTAAGGACAGCCTTGGGAATGCCTATAGGACCTGTAAGTTGGGAGTACTTTGTTGTGGGCCAAAGGCTTTAGTGTGCACTTGGAAATTGGTGGCTTAATTGTTCATGAATGTGGGCTATTTATAAATTGAATCTGTGGTATCATGATATAATTAAGTACCATGCTCAGGCTTTCAGTAGAAGGTCATATATCATTTTTCTGCTTGGTAGTAATAGCAATAGCGATTACACATTAGATGGATTTATTTTTACTATCATATTAGTCCCCACTTTAAATAAAAGATGTTTATTTTTCAGAATTCTGAAAAGTTTCCTCCTCCATGGCTAATTGCAATGCAGCGGTATGGCCCACCTCCCTCTTATCCCAATCTGAAGGTACCAGGACTCAATGCACCAATACCAGAGGTAAGGCTTCTTTAGGAATCTAGATAGTAAATAACTTCAGAAGAAAAATGAATGAGAGATGATTAAGTACAGATATGTAGGTGCATTCAGTTATATTATACAGGCATGAGGGGAAGACTTGGGGAAGAAATTGTAATTGCAAAACTCATGTGGTCAATGAATGTTTACAGATTGTCTTGACAGAGGTAAAAAAAATATTTCGTTCAGTTTTATGTTTTTCATGCTGTCATATCACTAATAGAAAGGTATCGATTTGAAAAAGAAATTCAAATGGACTAAGCACATTTCCAAACAAGTTTTATTTAGTTCTGTCATTAAAATGACCCATAAATTTACCTTTTAGGCTTGTGCATTTGGCTACCATGCTGGTGGATGGGGCAAGCCACCTGTGGATGAAACGGGGAAACCTCTGTATGGAGATGTATTTGGAACACAGAGTGGAGAGTTCCAGGTACTGTATTGTTTCTTTGAGATGTTTTTGGTATGTCATCTCTAGTTGTAACTGTTTTTTTTTATAGGAATTTTTAAACCATTTGGTTCAGGGGAATCTCAGTCGATGAATAAGTGATGTTGTTTATTTATTTATGGTTGTTGCATATAAAACTGTCATGAAGTGCAAGTAATGTGATAATGGAGATTTTGTCATGCGCTTGCTTGTAGATGAAACCTTGGCACAAATGACAGTATTAACAGCATCTATTTTGTAACCTGTAAAAAGTTTTCCATACCAAAGATTGCTAATAGGGACAAATAATGAAACTATATTGTATGTTGAAAAGGACCCTGTGCAAGAAGAGGACATAGATAGGTCGTACTGGGGTGAATTAGAGTCTGAATCAGAGGAAGAAGAATCTTCAGAAGAAGAGAGCGAAGAAGAGGAAGATGTGGATAAAAGTGGTTTAATTACTCCAGGGGAAACGTAAGATGTATTTTTATGGAAAATATGCTGTTTTTTTTAATGAATTGATGTTCAATCAAGCTGTGAATTTAAAACTGCAATGATGTGCATTAGGATAATTTGTCAGTAGATTTAAAAATTGGAAATTGGTCATGATATAATTTCTGAAATTTTTAAAACCCTTTACTTCATAAAGGTTATGTCTTAAAAGGTTTTATCAAGATTATGGGTAATTTCAAACTTGGTAAGTTATATTTTAATCAAGCAGTAAAGATATGTAAACTGAAGAACTTTCAACCATGTGGGTTGAATCTGCATACTTAGCTCAACCTTGAGTGATATATATATATATTTGCAAAGACTCAACACATGTCATTGCAGTGGTCTCATTACTCCGAGTGGAGTAACCTCAGTACCAGCCGGAATGGAGACACCCGACATGATAGAGCTGAGGAAGAAGAGGATAGAAGACGCCATGGACCAGGGCGGCGACACTCCAGCTCTGTACCAAGTGTTACCAGAGAAGAAAGCGGCCGTGGGAGGGGCCATGATGGGATCTGCACACATATATGATATCACTGGGGTAAGGATATTATCATGTATTGAGTATTAAAAAAATATTTAAAGTGTTGTGTTTTCATATGAAAGATGATGTTATGTTGTTTTTGAACTCATAAGTCTCTGAATGCATTGAATTATTCCGATTTCAGATTAACGTGCTGTTTGTGCTTGGATTTAGAATTGGTTACCTGTTTGTCTTAGTTACAAAATCTTTACCATCTGTTTTATGATAATTTTTTTCATTTAAGGTAATGAAAAAGAATGTTAAAATACATTTTAAAAAGGAACAGAAATGAAATGTCAAACAACTTAAAAAGGAACAAAATTGACATGTTAAACAACTTAAAAAAGGAACGCAATTGATATGTCAAACAACTCTAGTCAATGCCATTTCTTCCCACTTCAGGTTACAGGCAAGAAACCAGGAGAGAAGGTGGCAGAGGGAGTGGAGATAGCACTGAATCCAGAGGAATTGGACTTGGACACTGCTGCCATGCAGGTGAAATACGAACAGACATTAAAAGAACAGCAGTCTCAGCTGGAGAAAGAAGATCTCAGTGACATGGTAGCTGAACATGCTGCTAAACAAAAGGTAATGGCATGGCTGTTGGTTTACAAAGCTGAGCAGGAGTGAAAATTAAAAGGAATAATTTTTCCTTACTGTATCCAACGGAACACGTTTTCATTCGATTCTCTAGTTGGATGAAAAATTTACAAATCAGTTATGCATCTTTCAGACGAGAAATTGAAATCAGAAGATAACAACTGCATTCATATTGGCTGATTATGATTTATTTTTGATTTGAAGTTGAATATTACCTAGACAATACACATTGATGGTCAGAGGAGAACTCCTGCTGTCTTTTTCCTCAGTATCATATTGCTTGTTTAGTTTGTTTTGATTCAGTCCTTAGATGTTAAATATCTTTCCCCATTATATTTCAGAAGCGAAAGAAGCAACAAGATGGTGGAAAAGCTGCCAAGAAATATAAAGAGTTCAAGTTTTAGGGGTTGTCATTTTCCCCAAGCATTATTCCAAAAAATATAGACTGTGGATGTGTGCAAAGGGAAAGTTATGGGACTACTTGATTTAGAAGAAGGGTCATGACATTTTGTTGCATTTTATATTTTAAGCTACAATTAGAAGATAGACAAAATGTTCAACTTCCAAGTGTATTGGAGTTGATCTGTATATTATATATTACATACGTGATCTGTAAATGTTCAGTTTTAAAGGCTCTGTGTAGAATGATACAGCAGACTACAGTACAAGCATCTGATTAATATCTGAAAAGATAATGTTTTGGATATATACCCAGTGTTGTTACTTCTGCATCCACAAAAGCTGGACAAATACCTCCCTACTCAATAGTGACCTTTTGAAACCAAAATTGTTGGCAACATATGTTCCAGTTATGTTAATTCCTAAAAATATCAACAACATTGTTCAATAATTCACCTGTGATTCAGGAGTCTTAAATTCTTTTCCGTACTTAAAATCGGTATAACACTTGCAATCACAATTTACACTTAAACTTAATTATTTGGAAATAGATAAAGATAATTCATTTCTTGTCGTGTCTAATTGACTATATCTTGCAAATATTAAATTTACACACATTCAATAAAAAAACTGACAATAAGACAGAAACATTAAGAACTGAGATAGCATTTTTGCTCATATTAAAACGTTATTTTAGATTTTGGATGTTAAGATATAGATTCATAATACGTTTATTTAACACATTGCATAACATGAAATTTGGACTAGTATTCATTGACCGTTATCAAAAAGCATATAAGTTTAAACATTGTAGGAATTTCATTCTCATTGCTGCTGAAGGTAGGTCTCAAGGAGCCTCTTGAGAGAATCCCCAATGATGCGGTCCGACTTGCCATTCGGACTCGGTGTGGTCACTTGCCCCGCCAAGACCTCGTTTTCATTTCTATTCACATTGCTGTCGTTCTCGTCCTCCTCGACCTCGTTTTCACTGATACCGGTGATATGATTACCATCCGCGCTTTCCCCATCAGTGACAGCAGCTGGAGTTTCCGTGGAAGGCGACGCAGCTTCAGGACTATCGGGAGGAGCGACAGAGGGGGGCTGCACCGATTCCTCTACTGAATCCACCTCTTTGGGGGCCAGATCGCTCAGACAGAGCGTGACATTATCCTTCAGGGTTTGGGCTGTAAGGAAATTAGAAGTTCTTTTATTCAAGTTAAATAAAGTTTACAAAATGTGGCTTAGTAATATGGACTGATTCCATATTATCATAGTGACACGGACAAATAAAATAGTGGAATTTCGGTTGTGGCAAAAAAAAAACGGATAAAACCTTCTATAATCTGAATACATTAAAATCCTACGTAAAGAACTTAAAAATGAAATTTTCGTTCTCAAATTACTGAAATAACACATCATGAAAGTTACTTTTTAAAACAGATAAAAGACAGTATAGTACTTTTCCCGATTGTAAGCAAAATGGATTTTAGTAAACTGCACAGTTATTTGATTTTAAAACGTTTATTAATTTATTTTCTGTCACCTTCATTAATCAACTGCTTTTGAAAATCCCTAGATGAGATGCTGTCGTCATCTGTCTTCTCCAACAAGATCTGCAAGGTTTTCAGTTGGTCAAGGATGAACCTCTGGGAATGAAAATGCACAGGTTGTTTTAATGTAAAAATAATTAAATGCAGGCTTTTACTAAGTTTAGGGAAGGTTTCAAGATGAACATGCACAGTGTGATTGAGATTTACTGATAAAATTTATTCATTGCTATGCGATTTTTCTTTTCAAGAAAAAGGTTTTACTGGAATAAAGTTGTAACCCATAATGATTACATCTAATAGGCTATGTGTAAGAGTTCACCGAAACGGATTTTTTTTATACTAACCTCCACTAAAACTGCACTTTCCTTTTTGGCCAACAACTCGGCGACCTCTTTGTGGTTGTTATCCCGAGCAACGTCGGAAGGACTTTTCCTATCTTCGTCAAAGACTTGAAAGTTGGCATTGGCCTTCAAGAGTTCCTTTACAATAGGCACATTTCCTCTCATGCATGCAAGATGAAGGGGTGTTAGCTTGTAAGCATCACGGGCATCCACATCCGCTCCAAGTTCGACGAGTTTTTGGACCGCTGTTAGCTGCTCTTCCATTATTGCGCAGTGTAAGGGCGACATGTCCTTCTGGGCGTCTTCCCATATCGTCGAGTGTTCCTCATTAATTTTGATCTTGATATCTTCAGGTGGGCCTTCGCCCCTACCGGACACCAGTACACGCCCATAGTCGGCCACATCAAGGGAACCTCCCTGTGTCTTTAGGAGGAAGGTTGACTGTAGTCGCCTTTTAACGAGAACGTAGCGCCATACGGGTTTGTTTTTATCTTTATCTCGGACAAGATGAACTCTGTCACCTTCATTTAATAGGGTGCATGTCTCAAGCAAACCGGGATCTATCTGAAAGAGCTTCTCCAAGATGTCGATTTTCCCATTACCTGCTGCAGAATGGAAACAGTTTTTGCCCTTGCTGTTTACACCTTTGGGGTCTGCTCCCCATTTAGAAATCATGTTATCTAGCAAGCTAAGGTGACCTCTAGAAGCCGCACAGCACAAAGCATTTGGGGTGACCTGAGCTCCATTTTCTGCAAGAGCTCTAACGACACCACCGAAGTTGTGGAGAGACGCAAACTCAAGGCTTGTATAGCCATCTTTTGCGGCTTTGTTGAGATCACAGTTGTTCCTTGTCACGAGGTATTTCACCACATCTTCGTAGCCCAATCGCGAAGCTCTTCTTAGAGCAGTTTCACCTAATGCAGTCACGGCATTTATGTCGGCGCCGAGTTTTAGCAGAAGAACAACACCTTCTAAAAACCCAATCCCCGCAGCCATGTGCAGAGGTGTAAGTTGCAAGTCTCTAGCATCATCAATTGACGTCCTGTCCAGGCTGCATATTTCTTCAATCTTATGAATTTCTCTCGCCCGAACCATTTTATGTATAGGTTTAAGGTTGGATTCAAGCTTGTCATGATGTTTGATCCTTTTTTCCAATTGTTCACACTTTTTCTTCATGGCGATCTCGAGAGCTGTGCAGCCGGTGAAGTCATTGTGACCACTCACTTTTTGCCCCGAGAGATGTTTCCAGTCAAAATGCCTCCAAATGGTGAATATGGCCTCCTGGTTATTGTTATAGGCTGCATGTTGAAGGACGTTGAAGCCTTGTTTATTTCTGTATTGTAGAACCTTTTCGTAACTGACACTACGCGCTGCTATGTCTATCTGATAGTACGGGAAATTTGGGTCAGCTATTTTGTCGAACAGCATTTCTACTTCCCGAGATGATGAATCTGAAAATGGCAAACAACTATTCAATAACAGTATATCTTTAATACACTCTTAATTGATTAAAATATTCATTGAGGCATTGTAGGCTACGTAAGATAGGTGAAGATAGCTGGGGGGGGGGGGGGGGGAGTAGAATGTGAAACAGGGATATCTTTTTTTTTTACTGCTCAGGGTGTAATTAACCTTTGGAAGGTAGCTGGCATTTTTAAAAGAAGAAACCTGTTAAAAATACCTACGACCGATGTAGGCCTACATGTACATGATGTTAACAAGCTCACGTTTTTGATAAAAAGGTTAAAATATTTATCGCTTGCATTAAAAAGCACAAAACAATAGAGGTCAAGACTTCTATTCAAAAATAAAAAGTGACAGGAAGTAGCATAAAAATTGGAATGAATGAATGATTGATAATCTTTTCTGAGTCAATCAGAAGAGAATCATCTTGCTATTGGTAAAGACAACAAAACAACTGAACAGCTAACAGAAAGACATATATAGGTACATGTACCTTTCTCAACCATGGAGGCTGTATCAACTGTACTGTTCTCTTCCATCATTGCACACTTCGTGAATGCCACTGAAAACGAAAATCGAGCTAGTTTAAATTTAAGAATAAATTTACGAATAACGTTTTATATTTTCAATCATCACCAGCATTATCAGCACTAATTTTATTTCCGATGTAAAGTTTCGGAGTAAAAGGAGACCCGATCATTCAAAAAGCGTCATAGACTTTGCTAATGCTATTCTATTTAAAATGTATTGGTTTAAAGGTCAGTGGAATCCTGAAACTTCATATACAAGGTTGAGATTGTGCCTATTAACTGTGTCATCTCACCGTCATATACCAGCCAACTTCAGTGTCACTGATTAACTGCCACACGTATTGATTCTGATCAATAAATTGATGTTCATCGCCATACTTACCTCCTATAAAAGAGTTCAAGCTGTTTCTGTTACGGTTTTAGTTTCACTTCCAGGAACGCAGTAGAAAAAAAATCCAGGATCTATTTTTGTCAATGATGACGTAATTGTTTTGCGTTGATTCCGGTTGTCCTTCATTTGTTTATAACCCAGTTTATTGATAACCCAAGATTTGTTTACATGCCCTTCCTACTGTATTGAAAACTCACATAGGTTATCAGTAAACCGCAAAAAGTATGAAGTGAAATACAGGTTGCAGCAGGCCTACAGTGTACAGTTTGTACTTACACTGCGTGAGGTCGACATTCGTCGTAATTTGGTCTAAGTATATTTTCCATAAGATAAGTGTCATTTCTGCTTCTTTCTAAAATATTAACAACATTGCTCAATAATTCACCTAATGATACAGGAATCGGTTAAAATTTCCCATACTTGTATTACCACTGTTTTGTTCTTATTCGCGATGGTAACATATGATTGATCAACACGAGTCCAGAGTCAGCTTAAATATGGTGCTTTATTCTTTCCTATAAAATGATTTCTTTTCACATATATTATGAAAGGATGTAGAACACGGTGGTAAGGCCAAGCTGTGTTTTTCTCTGATTTAGCCTTTCTTCTGTGCTTCTTGAATAGCTGTGAGAAATAGTATGTACCTCTTAGTAGTGATGTTACTGCTATATGTATTACTGTTAAGTGGCGGGTGTGGACTTCAGATAGATTTCCTCTAATATTTACTTATAGATTCAGCTTTCATAGTAACTTATACAGAATATATCATGGTTTGATACCTGATACTGCAGTGTATCGAGTTTTATTTAAGGTATAAATACTACAGAACACACAGAGGTAAACTGCATTAAGTAAAATCGTTATAACACTTGCGTATAGATAACAATTAACACTTAAGCTTACTTATTGGGAAATAGATAAGATGCATAATTCATTTCTTGTCATGTCTCATTGACCATTTCCTGCAAATATTAAATTTACACACATTCAACATAAATTGACAAAAGGACAGAAACATTAAAAACTGAGATGAGCATTTTTTGCTTATATTAAAACATTGTCATTTTAGATTTTGGATGTTAAATTATACATTCATAATACCTGTATTTAACACATTGCACAAAATGAAATCTGGACTGGTCTTGTATTAATTGACCGTTATCGAAAGCATATGAGTTTAAACATTGTTGGAATTTCCTTCTCATTGCTGCTGAAGGTAGGTCTCAAGTAGCCTCTGGAGAGAATCCCCAATGATGCAGTCCGACCTGTCATTCGGACGCGGTGTGGTCACTTCCCGCGCCAAGACCTCGTTTTCATCCCTATTCACATTACTGTCGTTTTCATTCTCCTCAACCTCGTTTTCACTGATACTGGTGATATTATTATTATCCGCGCTTTCTCCATCAGGGACAGCAGCTGAAGTTTCCGTGGAAGGCGTGGCAGCTTCAGGACTATCGGGAGGAGCGACAGAGGGGGGCTGCACCGATACCTCTACTGAATCTACCTCTTTGGGGGCCAGATCGCTCAGATACAGCGTGGTATTATCCTTCAGGGTTTGGACTGGAAAGGAATTACAAGTTTTTCATTCAAGTTAGATAATGTCTTTACAAAATGCAGGCCCGTAGCCAGGGGGGGTTCGGGGGATTCGAAAGAACCGCCCCTTTTGCTGGGAAAAGGTCCACTCTGGGTAAAATTTGATCTAGGTACATGAAATTTTTATGGGAAAAGGTCCACTTTTTTCAGAAAAAGAACCCCCCTTTGGAAATTGCCGGCTACGGCCATGAAATGTTACCTGTTTATTATCACAGCGACGCGTCAAGTAGAAAATCGGTTGTGGCCAAAATAAAGGATAAAACCTTCTATAATCTGAATACATTAAAATCCTACGTTAAGAAAATGAAGTTTTCAATTTTAAAGTATTTAAATACCACACCACGAAATTTACTTTTTAAAAAAAGATTAAAGACAGTAGAGTACTTTTCCAATTGCAAACGAAAGGGGACTTTTTTTAGCATACTGTATTTGATTTTAAAACGTTTATTAATTTTTTTTGTATCACCTTCATTAATCAACTGCTTTTGAAAATCCCTGGATGAGATGCTGTCGTCATCTGTCTTCTCCAACAACATCTGCAGAGTTTTCAGTTGGTCCAGAATGAACCTCTGGAAATGCGCAGGTTGTTAAAATGTAAATAAAAAAAAATTATATACACGCTTTTGCTTAGTTAAGGGAAGGTTTCAAGATGGACCGTATAACCTTTAAAATTTAATCATTGCCATGGGATTTTTATTTTCAAGAAAAACGTTTTACTTGAATAAAGTAGTAATATATAGAGATTACATCTGCCGAAAAGGATTTTTTTCTTTTTTACACTAACCTCCACTAAACCTGCACTTTCGTTCTTGGCCAACAACTCGACGATCTCTTTGTGGTTGTTATCCCGAGCAACGTCGGAAGGACTTTTCCTATCTTCGTCTAAGACTTGAAAGTTGGCATTGGCCTTCAAGAGTTCCTTTACGATAGACACATTTCCTCTCATGCATGCGAGATGAAGGGGTGTTAGCTTATAAGCATCACGGGCATCCACATTCGCTCCAAGTTCGACGAGTTTTTGGACTGCTATTAGCTGCTCTTCCATTACCGCGCAGTGTAAAGGCGACATGTCCTTCTGGGCGTCTTCCCATATTGTCGAGTGTTCCTCATTAATTTTGGTCTTGATATCTTCAGGTGGGCCTTCGCCCCTACCGGACACCAGTACACGCCCATACTTGGACACATCAAGGGAAGCTCCCTGTGTCTTTAGGAGGAAGGTTGAGTGAAGTCGCCTTTTAACGAGAACGTAATGCCATGCAGGTTTGTTTTTATCCTTACCTCGGACAAGATAAACCCTGACACCTTCATTTAATAGGGTGCGTGTCTCAATCAAGCTTGGATCTATCTGAAACAGCTTATTCAAGACGTCGATTTTCCCATTACTTGCGGCACAGTGGAAACAGTTTTTGCCGTGCTTGTTCACACCTTTAGGGTCTGCGCCACATTCGCAAATCATGTTTTCTAGCAAGCTAAGGTGGCCTTCAGAAGCTGCACAACACAAAGCATTTGGGGTGACCTGAGCACCATTTTCTGCAAGAGCTCTAACGACACCACCGAAGTTGTGGAGAGACGCAATCTCTAGACTTGTATAGCAATCTTTTGCGGCTCTGTTGAGATCACAGTTGTTCCTTGTCACGAGGTACTTCACCACATCTTCGTAGCCCATTCGCGAAGCTCTTCTGAGAGCAGTTTCACCGAAAGCTGTCACGGCGTTGATGTCGGCACCGAGTTTTAGCAGGAGAACAACAGCTTCCAAAAACCCGATCCCTGCAGCTATATGCAGAGGTTTAAGTTGAATATCGTCATCTGTAGCATCCCCAATGGCCGTCCTGTCCTGGTTGCAAATTTCTTCTATCTTATGAATTTCTTTCGCCCTCACCATTTTGTGTATAGGTTTAAGGTTGGATTCAAGCTTGTCATGATCTTTGATACCTTTTTCCGATTGTTCAAACTTTTTCTTCTCGGCGATTTCGAGAGCTGTACAGCCGGCGAAGTCTTCGTGGCCACTCACTTTTTGCCCCGAGAGGTGTTCCCAGTTGAAGTGCCTCCAAATGATGTAAATGGCCTCGTGGTTATTGTGGTAGGCTGCATGTTGAAGGATATTGAAGCCTTGTTCATTTCTGTATCCCAAAATCTTTTCATAACTGACACTGCGCGCTGCTATGTCCATCTGATAGTACGGGAAATTTGGGTCAGCTATTTTGTCGAACAGCATTTGTACTTCCCGAGCTGATGAATCTGAAAACGACAAACAACTATTCATTAATGATCTCCAACAGAACTAAAGTGAAGCTTTGAGGTAGGGATGGTGAGGCCATGGTTGAGGACTGGAGGTTGGATGTAAAGGAGGACAGTGGTCATACAGTTTTTTTAATACCCGGGAAGCAACTTTAGGAAGGTAGGGGACAGATTTTCAAAAGAAGAAACCCGTTGAAAATAGTTAAGATACGTGGTGTAAACATGCTCACGTTTTTGATAAAAAGGTTGCAATATACATATACGGTATAAGGGCAATACCCCGCCCCCCCCCGACAATCCCCTCTCTGGACAACTCCCCTCCCCGACAACCCCCTGTAATGAATTTAATAATGAAAATGAACAATATGATACTGAGAAAAATTATAAATGCCTGGCTTTAATCAAAATGTATCTCCAGGTAGAGGTGGGTAATCTCTCTCAGATAATCTCACTTATCAAAGTATTCCTTTGTACCTAACTGAGACTTTGAATTGTTTTACCCCCCCCCCCCCTCTTCCTAGCCTTCATCACGTTGCCTGCCTTTAATCAAGGTGCACCTCCAGGTAAAGTTGGGGTAAACAGATCATCTCCACGTGCACATCAAGGTATCCCTTTAATGTACTAGGCGGGTCGGGGGATATTCGGGGGGGGGGGATTGTCAGGGAATGGCCTAGAATCATATCGCTTGAACATAAGTGTATCAACCTAGAGGTTAAGACTTGTATTCCAATGGAAAAAAGTGACAAAAAGCAGTGTGAAATGACTAAATGGTCATCTTTTCTGAGATGATATTCTTGCTTTTTTTGTAACAGTTACCAATAGGTATATCGTACCTTTCTCAGCCTTGGTGGCTGAACCAACTGCGCTGTTCTCTTCCATCATTGCACGCTTGGTCACATCATTGCACCTTGGTGGTGGTCACTGAAAGCGAAGTCTCGTTAGTTTTAATTTATCCTACCAATAAATCGTTCTATTGGTTCAAGATAAAGATGACCATCTTTATCATGATCAACATTAATACTACTTCTGATTGTGCAAAGTTTCGGAGTAAAGGGAGTCTCTATATATTGTTCAAAATGCGTCACAGACTTTGCTCACAGGCGTATCTCATGTAAATGTGGATGGAACTTAAAAACTTCAAGGTCGAGATTGTGCCTATTAACTGTGTAATATACCAGACAACTTCAGTGTCACTAAAGCACTGCCACACTAAATGATTCTGATCACTAAATTGATATTCAGAGCCAAACTTACCTCCTTTAAAAGAATTAAAACTGCTTCATTTACGCTCTTCGTTTTTTTATTTCCACTAGGCTAACATAAGGAAAATCCCCGATCTATTTTTGCCGATGATGACGTAGTTGTTTTGCATTGATTCTGGCCACCCTTTATGTTTCTATGACCTAGTTTATTGATAACCCGGATTGATTTGTTTACACCTGTATTGAAAATTCACGAGTAACCACAAAAAAAGGCTGAAATGAAAAGCATATAGGTACACTGCTAAAAGCTGTAACTGCGTGAGGTTCGCATTGCAATATTGGTCTCAGTACAGGTATTTTACGAACGAAAGATCCACAGTAATAAATGGAGCTGACATTTCTGACTGACTGGGATTTTATTGACACAGGGAGTACAATTACGCTGAGGCCATTGCCAAGACAATCAAAATGCCCCTGGGGCTTATTTTTTAAGCCAGAGCGTTTTTCACATTCTTTGTTAAACTTTTTTTATAGCAAATTAAAATTATTCGCCGAATCAATGGCCTACATGTCCTACAATAAAATTGAACCACATTGGACAGAATTTGACCGATGCCTGGAATGTTATTCCAGGTTGAACTCTAAAAACCTATCCCAAGGAATGCCTTGCCGCTTGAGAGCGCTGGTAGCAGCCAGAAGAAGTTCAGGCGTAACAGCGACCGTTACTGTGACTAGACACTGACATGAGGGTCCTTTGTGGAGCGTGTAACTCTTTTACAGACAATAATTTTGAAAATATGGAGATCCAAAATATCTCTTTTAATGGTTGTCGTGTGACATAGAACAGGCGATGAACTGATGTCACAATGACATCAAAGAGATAATTAAAAGTTTCAAAAACACGATTTTAATCCTCATTTTCATTTATCAGTCAGCAAAATAGGAAAAAACTGATGAAAAATGATTTAGAAAAAAATATTCCATACTAAATGTCAAGTCTGTATATCATTTATAAAGTGTTTGTAAAAAGTTGCTCAATTCACACCAGAAAATCGTTGCGGTTATTGCTCATACTACTTACCAGTACATAATTATACGGGTTTTTTTTACATTGTACACGCTTCTATCGAACTTCCTGAAACAGCATTTTTGAAATATGTTCTAATTATGTAACATAATATTTGAGAAGATCAAAATCTCAAATCCTCTTTCTAGCCCCGGCGTTATACCGATT